AATGTGGGCCAGTTGCCAAGTGCCAAAAATGCAATCATGTGACTGGGGGAGGCGACTGTTAGAATTTGAACCTGGGTCGTTAGTACCTTTTGATGGGTACCAGGTCTGTCATAAATTTGAATGGTCATTAAGCAACTAGTCATTAAGTGAGGACTACCTGTATGAATAAAGAGATGAAAAGGATGGTGATGGAGGAATTTGAAGGTAAGGAAATACATCTGCGTGAGATTTTGAAGGACACTAACAATTATTGCAGTTGTCTAAGGCGGGGATATTCGGACCAAAGAACCAGAAACCAATTATCTCAGCAAAATTTTGGATAAATATGAGGAGTTAAACCAAGAATCTGAAGAAAGAAATTTGAAGGAGGTAGCAGAAACAGTACTTTTTGTTCAGGAGACAGTTAAGAATTACTGCATTTTTGTTTTGCTGTAAAGGTACATCACTTCAGGCCCCACATTGCATATGGTCCTTGAAAATTTGGGGCATGACTGCCTAAATCTCTCTAGTTTTGGACAGTTTAAAATTTTGTTTGGGGTAGTTTCTAAAAACTGCATTTTTAAAATGGGATAGAAGAGGGAAAGTAAATACATAGGAAATAACCCTATTAAAGGAATATAATTAATTTAAATTATAATAAAATGTAAATTAAATTAATCCAATTTAGATTCCATGCCAGATTCACCTACTCTTTTTCATACTACCTACTTTTCACACACAGCCTCTGATATGCCACTGATAAGTTAGAGGTGCCCTTGGTCCTGGAAAAGATTGCACAATGCTGTTGTAAAGGGAGTTGTGACACAATTTGGTTAGAAATAACCTACAGGGGACAAATGGGATGGAAGAATCAAAAACTAAGGCAATACAATGGTCCTCTTTAACAGAGTGGTAAGAGGCTGGAAGATTTTCACACTCAACTATGGGTTTTCATCAATATTAAATAGTACACATCTTCAGTCTGCTATTACCACAGTAATAATATTAATCTTCTCTTGGTAATGCCACTTTTTTTCTTGTTAATATTTTAAAACAAACCATTCCGTTCCATTCCTTTTCTTTTTTCTTTATCCCCCCTCATTTCTTCTACAATGCAAAGTTCACCTCAACAACAGACTATAGCAAAACCAGAAGCAACCATGTTCACTCTATGGGGGTTCAGTCTATGAATTTCATATTTCAGAATGGATCAAAGCTTTGAGCTAACAGAATCAAAACACAGGAAGAAATTACCTTTCTGCAAAAAAAAGTTGATTTTTTAAAATAAAATTTCAGAGAGGCTAGCATTATTGCTTGGATTATGTAGCTTGAAACATTTTTTCAGAGTTATGATGGTTCTTCCAAATGCATCTCTGAGTTTATTTCTGAAGATTTTCTCTCTTGACCATACTTATTTGAATTCTGGAGAGCAGCTGCAGCAACTACAGATAAAGAGACAGTATAAAACAGCGTAAAGATTTTACATGCCTTTGTATCTGTGCTGGTCAGGATCTTTCACCAGAAGGAGCAGGACAGGTTTCCCAGTTCCCAGCATCAATCTATGGTTGCATGCTTACTCGGCTCTACACATTCGTGTAATGTCGCCACTTTTACCTTATTACAATGTTGTATAATGCAAATATTTTGTTGCTGGTTATAAATCAGATAAAAAGTCACAAAATTGTACTCACCAAGCAAGGAATTCTCTTTCAATAGGTTATTTTCCTGTTTCTTCTGCAATAACATATAAAGAAAAATGCTATATGTATCGTAAATTTCTTCTGTCCAAGAAAAAAAAACACCCATTCTTTAGCAAGGTAGGACCTGACAGAAGGAACAAGCAATGCTTTTTCCAATATCACATCCATTTTGTCGTGAGCTGTGGTGGCACAGTGGTTAGAGTGCAGTATTGCAGACTAACTTTGCTCACATTACCAGTTCACTCCCTTCGATCCTGACCAGCTGAAGGTTGACCCAACAATCTGGGTCCTCATTTTACTGACTTCGGAAGGATGGAAGGCTGGGTCAACCTTCCATCCTTCCGAAGTCAGTAAAATGAGGACCCAGATTGTTGGGGGCAATATGCTAACTCTGTAAACTGCTTGGAAAGGGCTGTAAAGCACTGTGAAGCGGTATAGAAGTCTAAGTGCTATTGCTATTGCCTAACAACTGTGTATCTATCATTGCATAAATTACTAGGTATAATTTACAGATGACTAACATCCATCAATTATTTTGTATAATATACAGGGGAGTAATGGCCATACCTCCACAGATGTCTTCCACTGTAGATAAATCTCCTTTGATATCGCCCAGTCAAGAGGAACTATATAATCATCTGGTAATAAAGTATCTACAAAACAAGACCACAAAAAGTATCTTTAATCTGCGCATAGGTTTGAAAGTTTACATTAAATAGGTGTGACGGTCATTTGATTGCAGGTGGCACTAGCCTAAGATCACATTATTTAATTATGATGCTAGAATTAATGGCATACATTGAATGTGCAAGATAACTGAGCTATTAAAGCTTGATTCATACTTGCACATATCACTTTTTTAATTAAGGCTTACTAAGTTAAAATTGGGTCTGGTGCTGAATGAAATGAAAGCTAGAACATTTTTAAAAAATTATTTGAGATATTATATTGGTAGCAATGTAAATAAAATATGCAGAGTGACTTGATTTATTGTTTATTGAAATTGGTCATTAGTTTATATATCAGACCCGTTAGAACAGCTGCATAAATCAAAGTATGTAATCCAGGATAGAAAACTTTTGTTATAATTGCAGCAATCAAATATGAAATACACGTAGTTCTTGACTTACGAACAGTTCATTTAGTGACCATTCAAAGTTACAACGGCACTGAAAAATATGACTTATGACCATTTTTCATAGTTACCTTTGCAGCATCCCCATGGTCACATGATCAAAATTCAGATGTTTGGCAACTGGTTCATATTTATGACTGTTGCAGTGTCCCGGGATCATGTGATCACCTTTTGCAATCTTCTGACAAACAAAGTCAATGAGGAAACCAGATTCATTTAACAACCAGGTTGCTTACTTATCGACTGCAGTGATTCATTTAACAACTGTGGCAAGAAAAGTTGTAAAATGGGGCAAAACTCAATAAATGTCTCACTTAACAACAGAAATGTTGGGCTCAATTACGGTCGTAAGTCAAGGACTACCTCTGATCAAACAGGGCAGGAAATATTCTCCATTCTTTAAAAATATCTGGGATGGCTTATCCAAATTATGCCCTTACTCCATCAGCAGCAGCCCTCCAAATGGAAGAGGCCTTTCTATATAGCCAGAGACCAAGATTCACTCAAAACAGACTGATCCAGTCTCTGAACTCCTTTATCACATCATCACCACATACTAAATTTACTGCAACAGATATGATGCAGTAAGGAAAAGATGTAATTAAAGAAAAAAAATAGAAAAAAATATGAACAATTGGGAACCATAATATCTAAATGGATTTTACAAAACAATAGGGGAAAGATGAGTGAATGAGTGAGATAGATCTAAATTTAACAAGCAGTTATTGGTAGATTTAGGCAAGGAGAGGGTGAAAAAAGATGCATTCTTCATGAGGGTCTCACACTTGGACTGGGAATAGTAACTGGCCAATTGTGTGTGTGTGTGTGTGTGTGTGTGTGTGTGTGTTTATGTTTAGGGTTTTTTTTGGAAGCCACCAGAACCATTTGGAAGTGGGCAGCATATTCCATTCTAAAACAAAACAGTTGGAGTTCTTCTGGCAGTTTCCTTCGGACAGAGATAATTGGTTTTTAAGGCTCTATGAGCCCTTTTGTCTTAGGTAATAGATTGGAAAGAACAAGCAACCGCAATTCACCTCAATAGCAAGAATAGTGTTACATTAATGGTGATCATGAACTTGGCTCAGTTGCTTTTATAGACCAGTTGCTGCTATTACCATTCCACTTTGGATGAAATGATGAACTCATTTGGGAACTGTTTTTTAAGTTTTAAAATGGGGATTATTGTCAGAGAATGGCCTGCAGCTACATCAGAGTTCAGCTGTGACTTTGAATGTTGCTGTTCATTGGGCCAAGAAAGTTGAGTTAGGCAACTGCAAGATGGCATCTCAGTGGTAGTAGGTGTTTTCACCCTCATCTTTTCAGCCAAGGAGCAGTTGATCCAACTGCAGTAAATTGAATTTTATAGTAGAAGCCAAAGATTGATTCAATACAATGGGTTAATTTTCACAGTCTATATGTTGTAGCAACATGACATGAGGTAGTTTATAATATTTACATTTATTATAAAAAAGATTAATAAGCTAGAGATGATATTGTGTACTATCCTTTGTAAAGTTACCTGGAAAAAAATCTAAGTCTCATTTAAAAATTCCAGCATTGCTAACTGACAAAATTAATCTGTTGTCAGTGTGGTGACAATTTGAATAGTACAATCGTATGACCAGAATAAGGAATATCTGTAAACAAAACTATGAAAACTATTTGTTGTAGTGATTTTCTGACATTCCTATAGGCAAAACACACCCAGAATAGTTTGATTAGTCCTACCTATAAAACATTCTCCGAAGAGAAAAGTAATTGAGGGCTGGAATACTTTTAAAATATCAATCTTCTCACTTGAACTAAATGTTTGAAAAACAAAAGCTATGGCATTGCTTAAGCAAATGTGGAACATATGTGCCCATTTACTGGGCATGATAAGAAACATGCAAAATAATTAAATACACAGAAAATAATTGAAAATTGGCAGGCCTGAAATCTAAAAATTAATCACATGATTTTTATGAGGTTACTCTTAGTTCATGAAGGGGTAGCCTAATCATTAACATCAAAATGGGATTTTCAGTTTTTTGAATCTGGCACTTTTACCCCCAAAGTAAAGCAATAAAATTAATTTCTATATAAAAAGGCAATGGATGCTAAAAATGCATGCTAAAGTTTAAACTACTAAATTCTTTTTTAAAATTCAACTATATGAATTTCTACATTTTTCTCCTTTATTTTAGCTAATAATTACCTAATTGAATTCCTGGAAAACCAAAAAGTTCTACTAGTTGAAGTACAAATCTTAGTGATAAAGGAAGTTCCAAATTGTATTTTGTATATGGGGAATCTTGAACATCTTTGATCTGAGAATTCACTGTTTGTTCACTTTCATTAATCACTTCCATATTTTCAAATGATTCAGCCATGGTGTTTGTAAGGCATTCAGTAATTAGTTTAACTGAATGCAAAATATCTGGCTGGATAGTTGAAATATCTGAAGATATCTTTTTCTTTTCTTTAATTTCTATTGTTTCATCAAATTCAAAAAAATCTTGTTCACTTGGTGAGAGAGCTTTACATGAAGCAAAAGTACTTATATGAATTGGAATATCAGATTCTTTTGTTGAAATATTCACAGATTCGTCTGCAAGTTGATTGGAACCATTGTGTAAGGGAAGTTCCACATCAAAATCAGAAAATTCAACTACTGCATTGTAATTAGATGCTCGAAGTTCACAGAATCGCTTGTTCTTTTCTATAATTTCTTCATTTGAAATGTCTTCTTTCTTTGTTACTGTATATATATTGTTTAGCACTTTCTGATTCTTTTTAGGAGGAATATGCCTTGGTAAATCAAAGTTTGGAGCCAATTTGAAGATCCTTTTGTATTTTTCTTTTTTCTTTGGTAAAGTTAATATACATTCATCAGTTGTGAAACTGGTATTCCTTCCACTTTCTCTGACAAATTCACTAGAATTATCACATATTTTATTTTCCATCAGCAATAATGACAAAGAGGTAATTGTTGTATTGTTATTTTCATGCAGGAGTCTTTCACTGCTTTCTTTCACTAATTCTTTACTAGAATTATAATCCGTCGTTTCTGTTGTTGCTTCTGAAAGCATCTTCTTAGGTCTTTTGATCTTTTTTGGTCTTTGCTCAAACATGATTTTAGATACATCCTCAGGCCAAGCCAAACAGGATTCATTTTTCTCTGTCTTAGTCTGAAATTGTTCATCAGCCAAATCAAAGGAAAAGAAAGCCCAGGAACTCATTTCATTACTTTTTGAAGTCTCATGTGGATGCGGAAGAGTTGTTTCCTCTTCATTGCTTAACATTTGGTTTCCTTGGACCAAGTCACATGTATATTCAGCAGATGTATTTTTCTTTTCTTCATCAGTCAATACAGTATTTTTTCTTGCATCATTTTGATCTGATTGTTGAAATGAATTTTGATTATGATCTAAAGTATTACTGTCACATTCTGCAAGTGATATGTTTTTTATCCGATTTGATAAATGACAGTTGGATAATTGGCCAGCTATATTTTCATTTAGAGTAATTGATATTGACACATCTTCAGTAATATCTGCTTTTAGTGACTTCTTTAAAGACACTGGATTTACTACAACAGAATCAAGGATTTCCTTTTTTTGCAATTCAGAAAGCTGTAAATGATTATACTTCGTTGAGCCATTCTCACTATCAATTTTAGCTTCATTTAGATGGCCAGTCACTAATTCTGATTGTCCATTGTCTTCTGAACTTTCTTGCTCACTTCGTGATAAATCCCCATCACTTGGAATTAAATGTCCATCTGATTTTGTGTCCACTGATGTAATAACAGCATTTTTCATTTTTCTGTTCTTCCTTCGTTTCTTTTTTTGTTTTATCTTGTGTAATCTGTGTTTCCTCTTTACAACCAGTTCCCTAAATAGAATAAAGAACTAAATATGAAAAAATTATTAAGAATGCTCTTAATGCAGGCATACATGTAACGACTAATTATATAACCCATGGAGCATTCTCTTAAGACAGCTATGGAGTGATCCAACTTTAATCATGTCAAATAACAGATTCACAGCATTTTTCTAAATATTCAGAAGTTCCACAGAAAACATTTTGTACTTAAATCTTAGATAACAAGAGCAGAATGTACTGATAATCAAGCTTAAAAACAGAATAGGTTGTAGTGCTGGCATGATATGCATACAGTTCACCAGCATGAAACATTCCTATCATATTTTTTTTGTTACATGAGAAGGCATTTCTAACCAGAAAAATAACATTAGTACAAAAGATGTATTCAAGTTGTAACTTAATTATATAGAATTAATAACTTTTTTCTAGTTATGGAAGACAAAAGAAAAACATCCTCTCTGATTATGATTTAATCATGGTACTCTTACAAGATGTGTGTAAGATGTAGTGTGTAAGATGGGTATTTTAAAAATAGGTCTCAAAGACCAAACTGCTCCAATTTGCGTTTAACTGAAATACAGTATGGTACTCATCCATATCTTTAAACTCTAGTAAAATCCATAGAATATCATTTACATTAAAATGGATTTCTGTCTGGAGAAAAAAAATTGTTAATTTACATTGTTTAGCTCATTTCCTAATTTTACTCATGTGCCATTTTGAAATGATGTTTTGCCCTGAAAAGATACATAACATTCATAAATTGGGAGGATATAATCAAGTTGGTTTTAAAACTGAAAGGGTGGTCATCATTTTCATCCTCTAATAATGTTTTTATTAATATTATTTGACCTTACCTCATCTTATTCTCAAATTGTTAACAAGCTGCCTCCAGAAGTGGTGAATGCTCCAACACTGGAAGTTTTTAAGAAGAGACTGGATGGCCATTTGTCTGAGATGGTATAGGGTTTCCTGCCTGAGCAGGGGGTTGGACCAGATGACCTCCAAGGCCCCTTCCAACTTTATTATTATTATTATTAAGCACATAAAATATGTTAGCTGACATCAACTTGCTAATTTATGCATCCATTCATACAGAATTCCATAACTGAACTTATGCATGGACATTATGGGAACAGAAATGTTGAAACAGATTGACATTAGATCTCATCTAGCATGGCTCTTCTTCTGTTCGTCAGTCAATTAAGTGTAAATTATGTATTTATTCCCACTTTCACTTTTCTACTTGATTTCCTGTGACAGATTTTTGATTACAAATTTATCACAGTAGAGAATTCTTGTACACTATAAAAAGCTACAGTATATATGCTAAACTATCACACACACAGTGTTTATGACTGTGTTTGTGTCCCTGTGTGTATAGTCTTTCTGGGGAAAAGCAAAATCAAGATTTTAATCAGCTGCTCAGCTCCATCATATGAACAGAACCCACAAGTCTATTTGCAGTCATATGAAAATATATACCAAGGATAGATCCAAACATACAATAGAAGAGGGTAAAATTTATGTATTACTAAAACTATCATGACTTTAAACTAGATGAAACAGCGTATCAACAATTTTTGAACCAAGAGACTTCAAATGGGTTAATTTGCAGATTGTGTCCAAAATCTGGGACCCATGACTGCTGAGGGAATGAATTTTTTAAAAGTTGTGGCTGCTTCAATGCTACTTGCTGCTGTTGCACTGTTGGGCTGCTGCTGTGGTTACTTGATCTTTGTTTTCAACATTCTGTCTTGCAATCACCCACTCCCCCACCAAACAACAGCCACTTACCTGCTTGTTGGGTAGGGTAGGATAGGGAAGATCTCTGATGTTTCCTGCCAGATTCCCTCAAAGAAACTCAATGGGAAGCCAGCAGGAAGTCAGAAGTCGCTCCTGCTCCCATTGCTTCTTTGCCCACCCTTGGTCATTCTGTTTCTCTGTTTAGGTAAGCAAATATCTCTGAAATGATGATCCAATGGGGTTGTCTGGTTGGAAATAAATTTGGAACGGTTCTTCCCTATCTACCTTTTTTGCCTTTCCTCCCATCCATTTTGTGCACCTCAACTTTCCCAATGCACATTCGGGACTCCCCTTTTTTTGATCCATAGAAGTCACAAACTTCATATATGCCATCACTCCTTTGCTGCTGGGGCATCAGGTGGTATTGGAAATGCTGGCCATCTGGTTCATTTTGTGAAGTTTTACGGATAGGGAAGGGAAGAGGAGGGGCCTTTGAAGTTTTCACTGAGGCACTTTCTTCCCCTCTAAGAGCAACAGGGACCTGGTGGGACTGGGAAAAGGCCTTTGGGGATCCAAGGTGTGAGAAGCGGTGCAAGGGGTGTCTCATGGGGTGGGGTGGCCTTCGGACAAGGCAGGCAGGTGCCCGTGTTAGGCCATCCAGGGTCTCCCTTACTTCTAAGGCAGGGGTCCCCAACCATGGCTCGGTACCGGGCCAGGGCCTGTTGGCCACCAGGTCCCAGGAATAGCTGGCGAGCCCCACCCCACTCGTGGTAGCACCACCGAGTAGCCACTAGCAGCCCCACCAGTGCACACCATGGGTACGTGGCCCACTTGTGTATGCGCGCGTACACTAGCACCATTATTTGTGAGCCTGTTTGCATATGCATGCACATTGCCGCATACATGCAGATTTCCCTGCTGCTCCCTTTCCTTCTGGGCCGCCAAGCACGAAAGGTTGGGGAACTCTGCTCTAAGGCACCCCATGCTTTACATAATGACCCACACATTTGTTTAATGATTCATTGGGGAGAGCAGGTATGGGAGGATCATTAAATAAGATGCTTCACAAGGCCATTGTCCCATGAAAACATAATGGCCAAGCTCCATTATTTCAAGAACTATCTGTATATACCATATTTTAGATAGGCAAGATTAAAATAAACTAAAGTTTAACTTTAAAATACATTAAACTTTAATTGCATTATATTATTAAGTATTTCAATTTGCAAATATATGTATTATTGTTACCTGTAAGATTAGGGTATAAATACTAGAAATAAATTAAGTGTATAATATTAAAAATATGTATATATTGTTTTTCCTTACTGTAAATCTTAAAAGCAGTTTACAATAAAACAATTTGGATTCCATAATACAGCCACAAAACTAAAACAATATAAAAGTAACATTAATTATAAAAAGAAGGAAAACAAAAATAATACATTAATACAACATTCAGTCAGTGAAATATTGGAAGAAAAGCCAAGTTATCAACAGGTATAAAAAAGGTGTAACAGTAGGTCCTTACAAATTTGCAGGGAAGGGCCACCTGTGAAATAACTGTAAGAGAATGTTTGTTTTTAGTACATGCAGGAAGATTTTCTTTGACTACACTTCCAAATAGCTTATGTCAAAAGCAAAACCTTTAACCTATCTCAATAACTAATTGGACAGCACTGTAAATTATCCCACTGAATAAACTAGTGATTACTTCTGGAATAAAATCAGTGATAGTACCATACATAGAATATTACAGTAATCCACCAGAGTGTGAACAATTAAGGCTAAACTAACCTATGCTGGAAAGGGAGCAGGAGCTGATGTATAATTAAAGTTACAAGCTCCCCGACGACGACCTAAATTATTGTGCCGTAACTGATGACCATGACCCTAGAAAGACTTCCAAGCTATCTGCTTCTTAAATGCAGGCAAACCCACAGGTAAATTCTTAACTCTCATATTTGGTAATCCCCCACAAGGTCTTGCAAGAGTCAACCTCAATTTATTGCCCCTCATCTATTTCCTAAATGCACTCAGATACCAGTTTTAAATCACAACTCAGCTTCTTCTGTTTCTGATATTATAGAGAAGAACTCAAATGTTATCAACATGTTGATGATACCCAGTCTACAAACACCTAATATCCACAGATAGTATTGTTAAATAGTATTGAGAACCAAACTGTGCCTTGTGAGCTTCCTCAACCCAACTCCCTCATATGCACTGGGATATACACTTTTTTTTTTTTTTTAAAGCTGGAATCCAATCCGTTCAAACTGACATAAAGACTTGCCTTGCTTGTTCTTATGCTTGTTTCACTTTTGTGGGAACAAGATGATGATCAATACAAAAACAGAAAAAATGGAGCTCGTTGTCTGCTAAAAGGAACAAGTACAAATTAATTGGGGACAAATAATGTCTACTCCTGAAAGGAAAAGCCACCTGCATATCCTATCAGGCATTTGTGGTAGACCAGATCAGAAAACATAGTACGTAATACTAGAGCTATATTTTATTAAGAGACGAGTATAGCAACAGAATCTTGCAAATTTGATAGTGTGTCTCCTCCCCTTGCTCCCCAGTGAGGAAGGAGCCAACCTGTAAGGAATGCTTTTGCCCTTTTTGTTTAGGTAATCGTTCCTGAATCTTTGCCTCAAAGTTATCTCCCTAGGTCAGGGGTAGGCAACTTTGGCTCTTTTTATGACTCATGGACTTCAACTCCCAGAATTCCTGAGCATAGCTGGCTCAGGAATTCTGGGAGTTGAAGTCCATGAGTCATAAAAGAGCCAAGGTTGCCTACCCCGACCTAGGTTTCTGTATATCATAATCAGCTACATAATTATGCTGAGATGAACAAAGGTAATATTCTCATATTACTAATGACAAAATATGTATTATTAACTTACAAAATACCAATTAATAGTTATAAGCACACATTGTTAAATGCAAAGTTTAATATATTAAACTTACTGAACTTAATTTTTATAAGAACCTCTTCTACTTAAAAAAAGGAAATGGCAATGGCGCAAACAAATTAAACAGTAAATTATCCAAAATATCTTTTAATTATTTCTATTTAGTAGTATTTACATGCATATTTTGCAATACATTAAAGATTAGGACACACACAAATTAATAAATATCCAGAATTCAATCTGGACTTTGAGTCTCATTTGCTTGATGCTTCAATCCTCTATGTGTTTATCTTTTAAAAGAAAAAGAAACACATGACACAGAAAACTATGTTTGTATAAACTTATAATAAATAATAAAAAAGTAGAAAAAGTAGAGTTGTAGAAAAAAAAGATAATCAAAACTGCACTTCAGTAGATAATATTGTCAGATATTGTCATGTAGTTAAAGAGATTTGGGGTTCTTGAATATGATGGTTGAAAAAAAAATCATTTAGCTATAGTATTGACTAGTAAATATTCCATCCACATTATGAGGTACCTTTCCTCAATCTGGGTGCCCTACAGATGTGTTGATTTCATTTCCCTTCCTAGCTAACATGGCCCTTGGTGAACATTTGGAAGTTGAGGGTGAGGGTGACCTGAGGCTGAAGTTGTCATAAGAGTTCTGTAGGTGTAGAACAAACATGTCAAACTCGCGACGTCACGTGAGGTCACGCAACCAATCGGGACGGTATTGCCATTGCCGGCAATGGTGTGGGCGTGGCTTCCGGATGACACATCCGGCCTGTGGGCCGGCAGTTTGACACCCCTGGCGTACAATGATCTACCTACACTACATTTGAATTCACTGTTAAAAGGGCAAAGTATAATGGAACCACTATTCCATCATGTGGATATCCTGGTGAATGCTGAAGGTTTCACAAAAAATCATACAATATAAGTAAAGTTTTCTATAAGATTCAGTAGATTCATAAACAACATGTCGGCCTAGACATGAGAGACGAAGTGAATGTTTCTATTAATAATCTGATTATCTAGAAATAGTATGGAAGAGTGTTTTTAAATTGAATTTCAGGCTGCTGCTTTAATAAATGTCTTTACTTTTTCAGATTTCATCACCGAGCGTGGCTATTAGGCACTGCATAAGTTTATTTTTTAAAAAAATCTAGTCATGAAGGCCAAATTATTTCTACCAATAGCTCTTAATAACTTATAGGAACTTTTTCTACAGGGCATGCTACTCTTTAACTTCCAAAGGTTCCCATGAACAAATGGAGCCTGATGTAATACTCAATTTCACTGAGACTGGATTGCTGAAGCAGTAGTACAAAACCATGCAAAAAGAAAAGAGGCATCCAATTTATTACATGGCATTAGCACAAAGACCTTTGTGAATTCAGCCACAAACATATCATGAACTGGATATTGTATATATTATAATCCTAGCCAAATGTAATATGGTGTAACTAATGTCAGTTTCACATTTTCAACATATTTGAATGTATTCATTCTTTTATAAGAAAATTATGCACCCATATCAAAAGGCACATTTAACATACCATAATAATGTGGATTTAGAATTTGATAATTCTATGGGAAAACCGATTTGTAAGAATACAAACCACATGCTGATATTCAAAGTCACAGATTTTAACTGCAGAGTTTTGCTACCATTTTTGCAACTTACAGCTTGCAGATAAAATTCTGTACAGATCAGAAAATGGAAACATAAGAACTTCAGCTGAATGCCAATGTTTGATGAATAAGCTTCATAATTACATCTGTTATCAATAGATATGCAGAACTTGAAATGCTACTAAAAGCAGAAAAAAGAATAGTTCAAATGTAATTCCTATATTAAAAGTTACCCTACTGTTATTTGTTTATTAAAAATTCATGATATTCTATTGAGAAAAAGAAACTGCTCAGCAGTTTGGGGTATAAGTAAAATGTTGCACTAAAAATCAGTGATTAATGTATCTGCATTATCGCAAGTTTCAGTAAAATCAAGATTAGTACAAATATAAAATGTGAAAGTATTTAACATTTTAATATTAAACATTTACATTTTTATAAATAATTCCAAGATATTTAATCTGCATTAAACCTATTTTAGTCACAAAAGAAATTAACTGAATATTTAAAACAGATCAACAAGGAATTAAGTCATTTCAATAGATTTAACTCTGTATATATTACAATATATTATTGATAAAGAAAATTGACCTTAAATATATCCTTGTTTATGTGATACATTAAAAGTATTCCAAGAGACTGAACTGTCTCCCCACCTCTGTCTTCTTTGTAAATATGGTCTTTCTGAAGTTTTATGAAAAGGAAGCACTGAATTCATGACAATGGGTATCGAGATTTGATATTCATATCTTTCCAGCATTTGCACAATCTTCTCACGACTGACCCCATGTTTATTCCTCCTATAAAACAAAAAAAAAATTAAACAGATAAAAATCTTATAATCTTGGAGTACCTATTACAATGCCTTCAGTCTGTGTTCTTCAAAAAAGATTGCAAGAAAGTGGAAAAATAGCAATTGAGCAGTGATTTTTTAACATAAAAGATGTTCAAAAAACTAGCATTTTGTCTGCCTCAAATATGAATTGTGAATGTTTTTCATATAAAACAAATGTATTAAAACCTCCCAATTTCCTATGTATTTATAAATATCCTATAAATAGGCAGGTACCAACAAGGTTTTTTTTTTAAGTAGACAAAATGAAGAGATCAAGAGGGGCATAAATTAGTACTTTTTGTTGGAGGCTGCTGCTTCATAGTTTCTTGAACAGTTTGATTCTTTTCTTTCTTTTCTCCTTCCTTCCTTCCTTCCTTCCTGATATATTTCTTCATTTCCTTTGTTTAACTGCTACCAAGTATCTTGGCACAGAGTACCACTGATATATTGGATTTATAGTACTTGAATAAACCTCTGGAGGAAGTTACTGACAAGACCTGTATGTAGCCTGCAAATCCTAGAGAATTTGTAGATCAAGACAACTGAATAACAAAAGGAGATTGTGAATGAAACTCTATAAGTGTAAAAGGAAACTGTAATTATAAGAGTGATTGTATACCAAGAAGTTGGGTGTTGTCTCTTAGAGACAACATAAGACAAATTTTCTCTACCATGATCTGATCCTAAGTTTCAAAGGTGCACCCATTATCATTGTAATCTAACTCATCCACCTTACTTAATTACAAGCATCAGCATAATTAAAAATTAATAAAATATCCAAATGAAAGCATAGTATGTGGTTCTATTTCACAAAGCTTAGAAAAGAAATTAGTCTTGGAGCAGGGACAAAGATAATTTTAAGTTTATACAAAAAAATTCAAAAGTTTCAAGTTGCATATTTAAGGACAATAATGGAAATGAGTGAAGTATTAGATGGAAGTCTCATACATTTTTTTTCAAATGAGTGAAATATAATTTAAGTCTTACTTTTCTAGTTCTTCGGGATTAAACTTCCACCATGTATCTGGTTCATGGAATTCCACATGGTAGCCTTTTTCTAGAGCCTAAGCAAACAAGAACTACAGTTACAAAAGGAACATGAAATAATAGCTTTTCCTGATCTTGTCTGCAATCCTCTATATACTAACTTGGAAATAGTTAGTATATAGTTAGTATAATGGGATTTATTTTAAGAAGACATGTATAAGATTGTACTTCAATGTACTTCATTTAACAGTAAAAGTTTTAAGTTTTGACATTTATATAGATCATAATAAGACATAGGTAGATGAAATGTATGACAAAAACGTTTAATACATTTACAGAAATTAGATTTATATATTAAGACCGAAAAGTGAATCTCCATTAAAAGTGGCTGCTTTATTTACCGCTTTTACATAAGGCTTCATTTCCCAGGCTTGTATATTTGTGTTGTCTATAATAATTGGGGATCTTCCTAGATCCATTGCTTCTTTTGCTGCAATACAAATAATTTAATTAAATAAATTGCACATATTTTGAAAACCTCCTAAGAGAATAAAAATTGAAGAGGCCTATCATCTCCCTGTTCTTGTTTGAATATCTGTTGATTATGCACTGGCACAGAATGCTAGACTAGACTAGTCACTGGCTTAATTTAGCTCGTCTTAAGTTCTGAAGACTATAATTAGTACCACAAACATTTTCTAATTTCATAAGATCTAGCAAAATATTTTGATAGCCATTACATTTTCTGTATAATGTTATCATCTACATTGTCTCATCGTTCCCATTAATATCCAAAGATGCCCCAAATCTGCATTTATATATGAATGGTCAAGTGATTGTTCATATAGAAAATTATAGATCATGTTCAGAAAGTACAATCTGCAAGAAAAAGTAGTAAGTTTAACTTGGTTTGCCTTTACTCTTAACAGCCTAGATTTGTCTGTACTTATAGAGAAGACAGGCACAAGGCAGTTTCCATTTACCAAAACTTCCCATAAAAGAGAAAAATAGTAAGGAAAAAGGCTAAAAATTCAAATTCCCTACTATTTATGGGGATATTTATTGCATATACCAATGAATCTGTCACAAACTCTCATGAATTTATATTATCAATTTAAGTGCATATTTCACTGTAAATATTTCCACATTAATATATTTTCACACCTCGATTTTGATTCCACTCATGAGCAGCACCAAGCTGAGAAACATTATAGGTCCAACATCCATTGATCTGATGGAAGTAATCATCAGTACTGAATACAGTGCCATTACAACTCTGACCAAGGAGAATGCTGTCAAAGGAATAAAAAGGAAGTCTATTACTACATAGCCAAATATTGCTTTTGAAAAACAGAAAACCTTATACTGAAATTTTAGTAAAACATTTCCAATACATTTTTGGCAGATACCTTAAGACTACGACAGTTCCCAAATCTAATTTTTACTACCTTTCCTATTTTTTTCCTGAAAAATAAGCCATTCATAAAAGATATTTCACAAGAAGAATCTATTCACTTCCATATCAGATAACTTAATTACTTGATTATATATTTATGCTGTCTTATCTATCTTTCGGGTTTATGTGATGGAAAAAAAGCTATCCCAAAGAATACTAATAATTATTTTCTACTGTTGCTAAACTAACAGGTATCATTTATGTTGATTTTAAGAGCAAAATTACTTTAAAATGTACCAATCAGCATTATTCAGAAGGATCCTTTTATCCATTCATCATTTTTTTTAAATTTAGGCTGCATAAAGATAACCAATAAACAGCCAATGTACATACATTAATAGTTTAAATTCAGGTAAATACATGTCTCATGCAGAATAAGCTAAAATACTGTGATATTAAAAATTATTAATATAAACATTTCTAACAAGCCCTCAAAAATGGTCTTATTTCTAAAACACGTTTAGAAACCAACTTGCTCAGTTACTTGTATTTAAGCCAAAATGCTTTGACCTGTTTCCCTAAACATACCATTAAAAGAATGTATACTAATTACATTAAAATATAAATATTTATAGCTATCTTAATTCAAATTATTCCCATATTTTACAGAATATTCTAATTAATGAAAGAAATAATCATTAAAATTAGTCTAATAATAAGAAATCATGATTTACAGATAAGATTTAGAAACACCTTTTGTGGAATCCAGTCATTGTATGTCCAAAGGCCCATTTTCTTAGCTAGAAGTTAAAAGTTATGTAAACCTAATACTAACACCAAAGATCTGGAGATAGAGGGAATAAGTAGATGGGGAAGAGATTAATAGGAAGCAGCATTATAGAAAAGGAAGTATATCATATAAATTACTTGTATTTTATTCTTAAAATAAATTCATGTTTACTTACTGAGATAAGGTTGTCTTTCCAGAGCCTGGAAGTCCTCTTAATATTAAAAGTCGCTTTTTAAACACATATTTGTCCTGAGGATGCTGTTGGGGAACATTGTTTGACTCCTCAAAATTGTGAGCTTTAGTGTTTTTCCAATTTGCTTGAGTTTCACAGAAACCATTAAACATATATCCATCAGGTACATTACATTCATTTCTGATTGTATGCATACTATGAATACTGGAGTGATTACTGTATGGATTACTTTGATCAAATTCTGAACTGTTCATGTTAATTTTTTTAAATTCTGTATTTGAAGAATTGAAACCATCTGAACAAAGTGATGAAGAATTAGAGTCATGAAAATTAAAGTGAGCAGTAAATTGATGTGGTGGGTTGTAAGGTATTACAAATGGATGGGTCTGTGGCCCACTATGCCTAAACTGAGGTACAAAATCATTCCAGAATCTAGAATCTTGTTTGTTACACGGTTGTTTGGTTTCCCATGCATTTCTTCCATGTTCACTTTGTTCCATGCCAATTCTGTGACCACTTGTATCACTACAAATGTATTGGTCTTTGCCAGTTTTATAACCATTTGATTCATTATAAAAACAATGTCCCTCATTACTCTTAAGTAATGTCTTATGAGATAATTCTTGAGACTTTAAATAAATTACTTGATTTGATTTACTACAGTCCAGAGGTGGATGAGGTGTATCCAGACAACTTTCATTACTTTCAAGCTGATCAATTTCCCTGTAGAATTGTGACAATTCATCTTCTATTTTTGGCATATCATAGAAGATAGCTTGCACTATTTCTTTCTGAGAATTTCTACCAGTAAAAGTATTTGATCTCTTTGAGCAGTTGTTTTCAATACACTTTTGCTTTTGTTTATGTTCACAATTACTTTTATTTTTATAAATGGGCCCAATAAATGCTTTGCTTGTGCTGTATAATTCCATCTCCCCTTTATTCTTATGTTCATTAATGAAATTGTTATCTCCATTATGAGTTACATTGCTGCTGTCAGTAACAAAAGAATAATTATTTCCTTTAATTTCAGTTTTGTTTATTAAACTTGAACATTCTGTGGAACTTGGTGTTTGACCAGAAGGTACTTGGTTAAATGAGTTTAACACTTCTGCATTTCTCTTTCTCTCTTTTTCTTCTTCATCATCGTCAGATAGCGACAATGGAATAAAGCCAGAATGGGTTTTTTTAATATGTATTTCCTCATGAAGTGTTTGTAATCCATCATAGGATTTACCATAAGGCTCTTCTGTAGATTTCATCCTTTTAGAAGAGGGCTCGGCTACTGAGATATCCAGATTTTCAAAGTATCTTGGCTTACACACAGCATGAAGCATCTTGAAAACAATAAAATATATTTAAAGTATTATATCAAATATGTTTCATGTTTTGTCCACATATTACTCATGCAATGACTGAAGCTAAGCATGCTGAACTGAGGATATACCCATTGAAAACGACCTATTTTTTCTAATATGCTTTCTAAATAATAAAAGAATGTTATGGTAAAATTAGTGAGAGATTGTGAAAAGGAGCCTAAGGGTAAAACATTCTTCAGTTTACAAAATGTTTTTGGCATCAAGGTGTTTTTATATTTCAGTGACAGCATACACTATTACACATTTGCTACCTATTTTAACTTTCAATTGCTTTGGAAAAAAACAAAACTGTGAATAAATTGAGGTCAACCAACAACAAAATGGTTCAAGCTTATTTTGAAAACACACAACAGCAATCTTCAAAATAAAATAAGCCCTTGCCACTTCAGAATTAAGATCCCAAGTCATATCGCTTTAGCCTTGCCCTTTTCTTAAAGGTCCCATGTGCTACCTAAGACTCATGATCCGGATTTTGGGATGGCAGTCCCTACAAAGGCTCTGCCCATATGATAGCAATGGGCATGCTATCTATGCTCCCCCTTGTTTTTATGCATCAGGTGCCCCAACATCATTGGGCATGTCAATCCTGCATCTCAATAGCCTTAGTCAACGAGTGACAACTCAGATAGAAAAGCAGAGCCCCTCTGTAGGGCTTGCATCCACATTCTCCCACTCATAGATTCTGGACTACAAGTTTCATCAGCCACGGCAAAGCGAATGAGAGCAATGAGAGCCGTAGTCCAAGAGGACCAGACAGGCCAAGGCCGGCGGATTTATTCTCCGTAAACAGACGTCACACAGAAAACAGCAGCTGCCCACTCCAGTTCGCCTTCAAGTTGCGCAATTCAGAGGCTTTCTCACCACTACTACTTCGCATCGCTCTTCCCAAAGAAACTTTCTACCCGCATCTGCAGACTAACCTCAAAACAAGTCAGCTACTCGCTCGCCAAGCATTCCGGAGCTCAAGCGGGGACGGCCACGCTCCCCGACTAAAACAAATCCGAACCCAATACAACTTCAAACCGCCTCCTTCCAAAATGGTGGCTTCCTTAGCTTCGCGCATGCGTTTTTGTAGCTCTCACGGCCTACACAAGGACAAAATACATTTCCCGACGTTCCTAGAGCGTTAGTATGACATCATAGAAGAAGAAAAGCGAAGAGCGGATCCTATGGGAGTGCGGTTCATGAAAATGCTAAAAAGCTATTGTCGTGGGGCAAATTTATTAAAATAAGCGAAACAATAAAAGAATTTCTCGAATTTTATCGTACCTTGTGTAGCAGGTATAACGGCCATAAGTTCGAAAGATTTTTAAAATAAATCTGATTGGTATCCAGGACGCAGTAAATAAAGCCGTTCCCTGAGAATCCTTCGCATGTGTTACCATACCACCTAGTAGTGCTACCTACCATTTATTGCTTACAAAAATTCGGATGGTCACTAATTGGCAGCAACGAGGCACAACGCTCCATTACAAACAGCTTAATTCCCAGGCAGCTTCCGAACCCACTTTAGAAGGTTCCACATACGCAGGTCACATAGAAGTAAATACTATAGAACTCAATTGAACTTAATCCTAATAGTGTGCTCTAACTGTATGGGGCGTTCGCTGTGTCCCACATAAATTCGTGTATTTTACACATATTTTTTTACTGTGTTTCTAAATGTGCCGTTGTTATTTCTATTCTAGCCTTTTTGCCTACAATTCCTTCCATATGCAGCAAGTAGAAATTCTTTTTCCATTGTTGCATTTCCACAATAGGCATAATTGAAAGCTGTCTTCTGCTTGAAAAATAAGCAGTCTTTTAATTTATTACGTATACATTCAAATCTACATTATCCAGTATACTCCATTGTTTAAATTAATTGCTGTGGTAAGACAGCCCCCCTGAAAATAAAAATCTTGCTGTTATGTCAAAAAATAACTTCTAGAGTACTGTATTCAAATCTCCTCTGTTGGAAGTGACATGCAATTCAATCTGCGTATTTATATATAATTACTCAGTATAATAATTCTAAGCATTGTTGAAATGATTAGAAAGGAAACTTATCATATTCTATAAGTTGTGATCATTTTGGTTAGTGAAGGATATTTACTTTCCTTTTAGGATCATCTCTATTTGCTGCAATGAAATCAGTCAAATATTGCAGACTAAAGAGTGGACTATCCTACAAGACAAATATTTTCACCATATCTATAATTTATATAGCACATATACTAAAAGGATTTGAAAAAAATAGCAACTGGAATCAAAATTGGCAGTCAAATATAGGCTACTCTTTACTTTGTTAGCTACAAGTTTTAAAAAATGTAAAAAGCCCTTCATGGCATGGGACTGGGTTATCTGAGGGATAGTTTCTGCCCTATTTTATATAGTCATCCCATCAGACCCAGGAGATGCAGGCTATGGGCCTTCTCCATTGCAGAGTGCCCTCTGGTGGGGCCCAAGAAGAGAGCCTTTTCTGTTTATATCTTCCTTTTGGAGCATCATTTCCCCAGAGATGAGACTACCCCCAACCCTGCTGACCTTTCATAAGACTTTAATGATGTGGTTGTGTCATTGGGTATGGGGATCAAAATGTTGGCCAGAGTCTATGAGATGGTTATGTTGATGTTGGATTTTGGATGTTTGTTTATACTTTCATTTTGGCTGCTGACTATGTATTTACAGTATTTCTCACCAATGGTGACTGGGACTGGAAGCTTGAGGGCTAAACAATATAGTCGTAAGGTGTGGTAACACGATTGCACCAATTTACGATGGCAGTACTTGCAATCTCTGTTATATTTATATAAATATAAATAATTGTAGCTTGGGTAGGGTGAGCTGAAGAGACAGTATGGGGAGATGCCTGGGGGAGGAGTCAGGAGAGGGCAGGGAGGAGTTGAGTCTGCTGAGGCCTAGGTTGGAGAAGATAAGACTGGGAGAGGAGACAATAGGGGAGAATGGGAGAGGCTTGTAGGAGGTAAGCCTAAGGGAATAGGATATGGGAGGCTTCTGTGGGGCAAACATGAGGGAGAGAAGGGGATAGGATAGGAGAGGCTTCTCTAGGGCAAGTCTGAGGGAGAGAGAGAGAGAGAGAGAGAGAGAGAGAGAGAGAGAGAGAGAGAGGGAAGAAGAGCTGACCAGCCACCTGAACACTTTTCCTGCACGTGACCTGCCTGCTAAGAGAGACTGACCATCACCCCATCACATGACTTGTCTGCCGAGAGAGACTGACCGCCACCTCATCACATGTTCCAGCCAAGCAGAAGTGCCTAAGTCAGGGACCGCTGTGGACCGGCAGCCAGCCCAGGAGGGCCAGGAGAACCTGGACTCCAGCGGCCCTTTCGGGGGTAGCGTTACATAATCATTTAGAATCTAATTAAAACAAGTCCCAAATAAATTAATTGGCAAAATATGCTTTGTATTGTTTTTGTATTGTATTGTATTGTTTTATATCATAAGAACATAAGAATTTCCCACTTATTGACCACTTGTTCAACAACCATTTGAAGTTGTGACGGTGCTAAACAAGTAGTACTTATACCAGCCCTTGACATTCTGGACGTTGCACCACCTCTGTTGATCATGATTCAGGCACTTGACAACTGGCTTGCACTTATGATGGTTGCAGCATCCCATTGCCATTTGCAACATTCCTGTAAGTCAAGGACTACCTGTAACATAAATTTATCATAGTCCAAAAGCCTCCCTAGTCTAGCATGTATTCAGCAAATTCACAAGCAGTGTGATGGTGAACATTCTTCTATTGTTGCTCACTAATGGTTCATAGAGGTTGAATTTGCTTTTTCCTTTAATTATGTTTAGAATCAAAATATGCATGGATATGCATGGGAAGGGGGAAATGACAATATATGTAAGATGATATCATGAAAAACACCATGTAAGATGTTGGGATGTAAATAATGATGACATTTGCATATTATTGTGGAATTATTGAAGTTTGCTGTACATTCCCTTGCCCAAATCAATCAATTTTTAATTTCATAGGATTGTCTAGAACAGAGGTCCCCAACCTTTTGGGAACCAGGGACCGGTTCCATGGAGAGAGGTTTTTCCGTGGACCGGAGGGGGCATGGTTTTGTGTGTTGCCTGCATCCCACAGATGGGGCTTTGCTTGTTTGTGCAGACCGATTGCTGGCATGCCGCAGCCCGGTACCGGTCCACGGACCGGGGGTTGGGGACCCCGATCTAGAATTCTAACACTGCAAGAGATGGAGACCAGGTTCATCAATAATCTCTTGCCAGTCATTTATTTGTAGACATTTCAGTCTTTAGATAGGCTATCCCATGTAACTGTATGAGAATTTAGTTCTATTAGTAAAAATCAAAATATTATTTCAGTAGCACCATTTTATTCAATTATTAGCCAGATGTTACTGATGTGCAATAGGGCTATAAATACTCTTTCAAATAAGGGCTTTGGAACTATAGGAAGAAATATGAAGCATGTCCTTTTCCAAACTGGTGGCTGCTTCAGAACTGCTCCTGGCTATTTCCACACATACAGTAGGTACAAGCACTGTCATTCTGCTTCACTGGGAAAATGTAGGATTTAAACCAATAGGCCAGTATGTGACTGAATTCTCAGCTTTAAAATAGAAAGGCATAATATTATATACAAATAAGAGAAAGACTATGGAGACACTTCTTTTAGAGCAGAAATTAATTTCTTTTCAAAATATCAAAACCTAAAGTAGAATGGTTGCTGATAATCAGGCACGGTCTCCTATAGAGTAACATTCTTATCCAATTTAAAAAGCTTTAATTAGTGACTTCCTTTAATTAGGAGGACTAAACTGTACTAGTGAAATTTGATTTATTTTCATTTCCTAGAGGTTAATTTTTCACAGAACAGGATGAATGCCTATTTGCTAAGTACGGAAGGAAAGGCATATTGTAAATAGTATCACAACTACTAAACAGAAACATTCACTGAATGTCATATTATTCCACTGATGCCCATAGCTTTCTCATTTTTATACCAGTTCCTTTAATAATCTTTTAATGTCATTACAGTAGCTTTCTCCAACTTGGTATCCTCCAGATGTGCTGGGTCTGTAATTCCATGAATCCCCATGAATTACAGTCCTATCATCTGTAAAAGGTGGCGCTTTCAGGAGGGAATATCAGCCCCACATCATTTTGTGTACATTTATTGCAGAATGTGCCATTAAACTCAATATATTTTATTTGGATTTAACTCACTTGGAAACAAACATTATTTTCAGGCATTAAAAACAGCAAGTGCTCTTGTAAGATGTCCTAAATCAAACTATAGTACTTTATGCATATCATCTTTCTTGGGAGCAAACATCCCCAAACTAAAGGCTTTTTGGTCCCAAGAAAATAAATTAACTTTTAGGGTGTAAATTAGAATGAAATGCCAAGATGCTTGCAATCATAAAGAATTACATTACAAATATATATGTAGAATAAAACATACAATAAAGTTAGATATCCTGATCCTAAAGAAATGCAATAATACAATTTGTCTAGCAGAAGATATATTCAAATCAGATTTATGCAATTACCTAAAATATGCATTCAACTTAATTTGGGTTTTATAAATTCCACATATTTTTGGCATGGAATGTTTTCCAAGCTACATGTTGGTCTTACCAATATATACAATTAAAGAGTTTAAATAAACAAGGAACATGTAGGACCTATATGAGTTACTCACTTGTGAAGCTTAGAAAACTCACTGACCAAAATTTCAGAACAGAAATTGGTAAAATACATTTTCACAAATTGTTATATAAAAATATTGGAGGTCAAGGTTTTCCCAAATAAGTAACTTTATCAAAAAAGTGAGACATGTAGTTTTAGATGGATATAAGCAATTTATTCTTAGTTTGATCCAAAATGTTTTTAAAAGATGATAGCAATCTATCATCATATATACTAAGTCATTTTGAAATATGAACTGTACAGTATTAAACATAACAGTTCTTTAATTTCAAAGTACACATTTCCCTATTTTTATTATGTCTTTTCCTCATTTACCATTTTTTTAAAGCTTAGTGTGTAGGATTTTTTTTT